TCATGAATCACACAATCAGGCGACGGAAGCTGATAGGTCAGAAACTCGAAAGATGCATCGTCGGCCAAGCCACATGATTCATCGAGTTATCACGAATCTCCACAACCAGGCGGACACCACGAGCATGGTTGTGCAATGGGGCATCGATGTGGTGGTGTTTATTTCGGGGTTTGCTTTGTCAAAACAGGCTTTTCAGATCAGCCGTCGTGCGAGTAGTGACGATGAGAGCGCAGCCAGAGGAAGCACCTCGGGTCAGAGCAATTCTTCACATGAAGGGCTGCGGGGAGGTGCAAGTTTCAGAACCGTTTGTATACGCCACGTGAGGAAAAGGAAATGAGTGCCATTACCATCAATCGTCAAGTTTTGGGTCACTCACCGGCTGGGGGCACTGACTGTGTTTCCAAGCGAAGACTTCTTGATTCAGAGTGGAACCCGAGTTTGGCAGAGGCCATGCTGGCGTTTGTCAACGCTTCGGAAACAAGAAGCGTCTCCCAAAGGGGTTCAATGCATTGCCATCATGTGACGACACTGCTTCGCAAGTAGAAGAACGTTTAAGGCATGCATTTCTGTCGAACAAATCAGACGGGGAATGGAGAATGGGACCCAAAGACTCTCATGCACGGGAGATCCTTCTCCAAAGCTCAGCCGACGGCACTCGGAGATGTTCAGTTCCGAGTTCGTGGAGCGGAGCTTTTTTCAATATCGGATGCTTCTTACTGACACGGGGAAGAGCCGCGCATGAAAATCTAGGCATGCCGAAAAGAAGAACAGAAATGATGGGCACTTACGTTGCTCAGTAACTCGCAGTTTGGGATGGAAAGACCAACCGGAGATATCCGTGGAATGAGTAAGTGCAGGTTTGGCTAGTTTGGCAGATCTCGGAGTTTTTCAGACAGCCGGCTCATAGAGCAGTTCCCAGTGTATCGAGCTTGCGGGAGTTTGGAATGCGGGGCGAAAAGTGGGGCATGGCGGCCGAACATTGTATCGAACGACCGATGGCATGGCAACTGCAGTTGATGCTGCTAAGTCTGGAAGCGGCAGCATACATTCCGAACAGAAGGATCGAAGACGCTGTCACTGTCCGATGCAGAGCTGTCGTCAATAAGATGCAACAGCATTGACACGTCTTGGTGTACTCCCCCAAAGTGCCCGAGTCACTGACCTCCTGTCGAAGTGAAGGGCTGACAGCATGTGGTTTTACATATGTAAACCAATGTTGATTGTTGCTTAGATGGCCGCCAGTTTTGAATTCTTCCGCTTGCTAGAACTGTTGCTGTCTTCCACATCCACTCCAGTCCAGTCTGCACCTACCTCCGTAGCCGTCGTGCTATTCGATTATTTATCGTGTCATCCTAGCTATCGTCAGATGCAGCAGTGTTGCCACCGTCGTGAAGAGATCTACGTTTTGTGCGTTGACACTGTCAAGCATACCAGACACCCGCGCTGCTATGCAGGCTTTTTGGGCACAGACGCTGAACACAGGATTTGCACGGCCCTCGGAGAGAGCACCCATGGTTATCACGAAAGGCCGCCTCAGATCATCGTGCATTCCGTAGTGCTTCTGCAGTCCGGCAATGTATAGGCATAGTCACAGCACCGGAACAATGATGTTGGCAATGACAGCACAGCCATTTTCAGATTCGGCACATCAGCAAAAACACAACAAACATGCATTGTCGTATAGTCATCGTTGTGCGTCATGGTGTAACAGACGTAACTACCAGAACACGGAAAAGCCGACTCGGTCCGCGTCCATACACCTAAGGTTCTCTTCTTCGTGAACTACTTCGCGCCCGAGGCGCTTTCGTCCATTCGGCACAGTCTCGTTGGGCTTGCAGCTTCGCTAGAGGAACTCGCTGCAGGTAGCATTGTTTCTGATCAGCATAAGGCGTTCTTTTGCAAAAAGCCGGCGTTTTCTCGAGCCATAGGGTGGCAATCCAGTGTAGTTGGTTCAAGATCGTCTGCATACCACACGCTGGATGCTTTCATGTTTCCTTCAGGTGCTTCAGAATGCCGTCCTCATCATTCCTGGTGTAGGCCGCTCTCCGCAACTGCAGAAGTTCGAAACCGTAATTAGCCGTAGTTGCTTCGTGGCATTGGATGGAGCTTGTGCCATCATGTCGAGAAACACTTTCATTGCTTCAGGAAACCTCCTCTTTCGCGGGCCCTTCGCAGAGATCACACGCGGGTGGTACGCCATCGTCGGCAGCAGTCTCAGCCTCTCAGCCACGGCATGCTTCCACCCGACGCACAACAGTCTTGCATGTTGTACTGACTGTCAGAACTGTGTGTACCTCGGCCCTGCGAAAACAAATTAAAGCCGTGACGTGAAAGGATGCAAGGCATGATGCAACAACCATCTAAGCTGGAGACAAGAATGTCCAGCAAAAGCTGCGCGACATGATATTGCATGTGTGGCACACAGTGGCACATCGCCCAACCAAGCCGTTTTATGTGGCCAGAGGTGTCACCATCCTCATGAATATGCTGCTCAACTGCTTTGTGCCGGCCGGAGTGACTGTCGCCAAGATGATAGTCAATGTCTTCTTGAGGCACAACCCTTTGCGCCGAGTTGGTTACGCATATGCGATGCAAGCAGGGAGGGAAATAGCAAGCGTCGCCAGGCCCGGTGCCTCGCATTCACGAATCTCGTGGTTTTAGTACTTGTCCAGGCTTGTCCGGGGTGGCCAGTCCATGAGAATATAAGGCAAAGGATGTCAGGAGCCGCGTAAACACAGCTGCCTCATGAAGGGAGTCCTACGATGATGAGGCTAGTGATGATGCTGATGGCCAGGACAGGAGGAGCGGGCTGCGGAGAATGTGCTGTGCCGATGGTGTGTTGGTGTGTTTGAAATCTATCGACGTCGGCGGCGTCAGCGCCGTCGTTGTTGTTGTTGTTGTTGTTGTTGCTGCTGCTGCTGGTGCCGCTGCTGCTGGTGTTGGTGCTGGTATAGTAGCGGTTGCTTCCGTGGTCTCGGTGTCCTCGTCTCTTCCTCACCGTTTACTCTACTGGAGTCGTCCGGTCCTTGCCTGTCCTCATAGCTACTTTGTCTTAGAGGGGCTGATTGATGTTGGCCGGGATGCTGACACAAGCCCGTGAACTGCAAGGAAGCAGCCAAGAAGTGATAGACTCTTCAGCCCTTCAGCAGGTGTTTCTTCAGAATGGGCGTCGCTCACCAGGCGCTGCGTCTTGTTCAACGAATGTGCTCCGATTCATTCCATCCTGCAACAACTTGCCATGCAAGAGCTGTGCCTATACTCTATACCCTTGCAGCGGGGCGACGCTGCGAGGCAGAGCTGCTGGAGCTGTACACTCACCCGGAGTTCGACATCAAGCAAAAGTGCCCTCGCATTGGTGTCGTAGTAGTTGCTAGTAGCAAGGCAGGCCAAGCGGCAGAGACGGAGGCGCCCTGCGGTTGGTTGTATGCCGACATGATGTAACCTGCGGCAGTGGCCTTTGAACGGACAAAAGTCGTCTTCCATGTCTTTGTGCCTGCCCTTGCCAGGTATGCGCAGCTCCTCACGACAGTTTTCGTGACACTGTGCTGGCCTCGGCGCGTCTGAACAGGTCGGCGGAGTGTCAATTGCAAATATGGAAAAAAGGAATATGCCAGTTTGCTGTACATGGTTATTTTGTTTTCAGTATGCTGTATAAGGCTACGTAAGATGCAAGCAAGGACAACAATGACAACAAATACAAAATGGTGGTGAGAGGGCCTCGACATTTCGAGCAGCTGGCAAACGACTCGGACATGTAGCATAAAAATTCCGTTGCATGATGAGGAGCTGCATTCTGATCAAGCGTTGGTACATTAAATGACACAGAGCGATGTCGGCCGAATATATAGCAATGGCCTAACTACAGCTAAGTGCGACACAAGTAGTGTTTGTGGCAGCACTACAACACAGCGCTTGTTGTACAAGGTGCCCGCAGATCGACACGCGAAAACAATTGCAGACAAAAAATCCGGAACTTAGAACTCTAAACCTTGTGCGCAAACCTGCTGAGATGTCTATGAGTTCGCTGCCTTTTGTTGTCCTGTTGGTCGGGAGACAGTGTAAGTCTCGCAAGAGGCGGGCTGCTTCGCACAGAAAAGGCCACTACACTTTAAAAAAAACCCTCAAACCCCAAACTTAGACCCCTGTGCAGCTTAGACACCTAAAACAAGACTGGTCGAAGTCTTCAAAGCCCAGGATGTACGGAGCTGGGCTTCCGCTTCTGTACTTCATGGCCTGCGTGCTCCGGCTGCAAGGGCGTCCCGAGTGAAGGCAGCTGGTTCGTATATCCAACATGTCTTGTGCTTCATGCTACGACAGTTTCTGTTATGTGGGACGGTGGAAGGTTTTTCATGTGAGGTTGTTCTGTGAAAGCCCCAACCCTCAGACCCCGGAGACTCGCTTGGAGCTTCCATGGCCTTCGCCGGATCCAAGGTTTTCATGTTCTGCCAGTGCGCCGGCCACTGCCAGCGTGAGACAGTCCCGATCGGCCTACACAACAGTCTGAGGTGCTAAGTAGCGAGACATGTGTCAAGATCCAGCCGTCATGACGTCCGGCCGTCTCGCCAGGTACTGGGCAGACAAGTACTGCCTGCTTTGGGGCTCTCGAAGGCATGGGCCCGCAAGGTTTCAGCTGTCCGGCAGGACGAGGGTTCTCACCTGACCTGCAATCTGCAGGCCTCCGCACTACGACACCAAGATGGCCACCGAGGCCATCGAAAGCATGCTGTACGTCGCAACCTCGGCCGTTTGCATTCCATATTTACATCTTTCTGGGTGCTCTTCGTGCCGAATTAGTAATAGTATAACGGCACATGCAAGTCTTGAAGCTTGCTGGACGCTCTTCAACACCAACTTGGCGGCTCGCCATGGCCAAGCCGGTGTCCTGAAATGCACGTCACCGCATTCAGCTTCAGTCTGCAGACTGCACCGAGGCTGTTCCTTTCCACTGCGTGCTGGCAGTCCTGATGCGCTCCGGGCGAATTTCAGAATGGGCGAGTGTACGCATTTGTCAGGATTCTCCAATGCTTTGCTTGAGGGTGTCGGCTCTGCTTGTGCCAGGTACGGCCAGACGTGCGTCTTTCCGTCCAACCCCTTGGGAGGAGCTTGTTTCAGTTCGGGTTCTGAGCTGGAAAGGCAAAACGGGTCCGAGTCCTTTGCTAATCACGCCTTCACACCTTGCGAAGGAGACCTGGGGAACCTGGTGGATCAGGCACATCCTGAGAAAGGGATCCCATCCCGTGGCTTGTACATGGCTCGGCTTGCCACCAGGGATCTGACTACACTCCGGGCATGCTCCAGCAGTTCCTCCCGCAGATCACGCGTGAGCCGGCACCTCTCGGGGTCCTCACAGGATTTGGAAACGTGCACTGGCATTCGTATTCAAAAGGCCCTGAGGATTTCTCATCCTCTGAGGTCATAGTAGCATGCACTGCAGGGTGAACTCATAGCACATGGTCTACATTACACAGCCGCCTACCAGTCTGATTTAATTTGCCCACAGAAGCCATGGATTTCAGCCTCTGCTGGGAAAGTGCATACCAGGTCTCCTTGCAGAGCTATCCTTTCGGAATCCTAAAGTTTTGTACACATTTTCCATGATGACATCTTAGTACCCGCTGTTCGTACTCACGGCGAGGTGGCTCAGTTCGTAGTAGTCACACATGGCTTGTCATAAGACAGTATAGCCTAGAATAGATCAACAACTGATCTAATCTGACCTCACCTAATCGAACAAACACAAAAATCTTTAGAATATTTTTATAGTACATAGGTACTTTAAAGGACCCAGAGCAGCTTCAGGCTGTAGACGCGCATGAACTGCCTGGCCCAGGTCAACGTGGATGTTCTTCCTCCTCTTCGTGTTGTTGGTTGGCTTGTGGGCCGGGGCCGAAGCGAACACGCCGTCCCAGTCACTACGCGATCCGAACCCTCAAACCTACGCCCAACCCCCACCCACCCACGTTGTGGAGATTGTCTTCCTAAACTCCAATAGGACGGAAATCAGTTCGAGAAGGCTAGAAAAAACCATGCTCACGGCTTCATGGTTTAGGGGTTGATTAGGGGTTTAGGGCTTCGGCCTAGAGGTTGCAGTTTTGGGGGCTTAAGAGTTTGCGGTGTCAGAGTTTTGTGAGTAGCCGGGAGGTTCTGAGAGAGTTGCAGCCAGAGGTCTTGTGGCTGGTGCTTTGGATCATCGGCGGAACGGCCTCCACGGCGTGGGACCTGATAGTCAGGGCCTCGGCCAGGAGGAGGCGGAAGTGATCACCTGCTGTGAAGGTGCTTTTTAAGTTGAGTTAGATGAATCAGATGAACAACATTACCCCTCGACAGCCTAATCAGACAAGAATAGTTAAATCAAGGCAGCAGGCTGAGATGTGGATTTGGGGTCTTGTATTTCTGGAAACGGTTCATGGTGGTTGGAAGTGTGCGGTTGGCAGAACCATGCGACAGCGACATCCCTGGCTGCCAAGGTTGACGTCTGCTGTCCGAAGTGGAAGAGGAGCCTACAATGCCCGCAATCTGAGCACCGTACATGGCTCTGATGCTGCCTGATGCAATCATGCATAGACCAGAGTCTGGAAGATGGTAGGCCTCAGGTGCTGACGTTTCGGTTCCCGGGGGTTGGGGAGGGCTAGAGAGCCGCTCCTGATCGAGAGGAAGCAGCCCAGCAGGGACGAGATGGTTGAAGCCTTGAAGAAGGGCGAGAGAACGTATCTCAACGGCATGCAGCGGCTTTATTGCGCTAGGTAGGGCTTGCCTCTTCAGTTGGAGCATGGACCTTGCTAGGGTATGCTGGGGTGTTGTTGTTGTACAGTAGGTGTTTGTCGGCTGGTTGTTAGTAAGGCTTAGTTAGGGAGCTTCTCTTGTCATGCTTCCAAGGCTCAACGGATACAGCATCGACGTCGCCAGCAGTGCCGTCCCAAGAGCAGCCGCATTGGCTTGTTCAGGGATTTCGTTCTGCCGATGGTTTCTGGCCTGTTTGTTGGCAGTGCCTTTGTGTCCGTGTTGCCTGTGGTGCCAGAGCCCTACTGATAAACTCCGCCCTGCCCAGCGATGAACTGGGATGAAGCGTTCGTCCACATCGAGAATACGTTTCCGCCAGCATCTTACAGGCCGGCGGCCAAGATGGCATGTTGCTTGTGACAGTCTTGTAACATCTTTTAACGCTGCGGGCACAGAGCCTTCGCCCACTGCAGGGCAGGGCAGCAGACTTCTTCAGAGTCATCGGCTCCAGAAGATGTCTGAACCACGTGTGCTGCAGTGTGGCTCGAAGGGTCGTGTTAGATCCGAGCAGGGGCTCTGCCGGGATCATGCGCGGCTTCCGCTGGGCTTCGCGCAGCGCGGCCGCGGCCCTTGGCTCCGGCGTCTTGGTGGCCGGACTGCATTGCAGCGCGAGGAAGCCGGTGGCGAACCCCGCCCAGGCCCAGGCCACTCAGGGCACGTTGCACCGGGACCATGGCCGATGGGCCTGGGGCCATCCAAACTCCGTTGAATGCGAAGCGGCTAAGAAGAAGCTGACAGTCGCGGAGCTGTTGGCACTGAAAGGAAGGCGGCAGATTGTGCTGACCACGGCTTTCGACGAGTGGACAGCGCGTGCAGCGGAGCAGGCTGGGGTGGATATGATTCTCGCCTGGGGCAGCTGTCAGGAGCACAGCAAGTTCGTCGTTGAGGCTGTTAGACGAGGAGCGCCTAACACACTCATTGGAACTGGGATCAATCCGGGCGCTTACGATGCTCGGTGTTGGAGATTCCAGGTAGCCCCAATGCTTGCTTTCCTGTAACATAGGGTTCAGAACAGAAGATGAGCGGCCCGAAGACAGACGCTAGATAGAGAGAGAGAGAGAAGGGCATTGGTAGGCAAATAGAATTGGATAGATAGATGGATAGGTGGAGAGATCGTAGGATTTTTGCTTTTTGTCTGGACCATGGTCTTGTCAAGTCGATGATCGCTACAAGGAGAGCCAGGAAAGGGCCTTGAAGCTTGCGAATGAGATGCGGGCCGCTGGCACCGACATCATCTACTGCTCAGGCCTTGTGCCAGAGAAGTTTCAGGGCCTGGCGAAGCAGCACTTCCCTTGCTGTGGCCACGTGGGCTACCTTCCTGTGAGTCTTGGTTTGGGAGCACCGATGTTTAGTCCTAAGTAACCATGAACATATGAATGATATGGTATACACCATTATGTGGAGTCATGGGTACTGTATGATGCCTTTAAATATTAAAATGCATCATATCAAGCACCTCAACGACTCGACGATGCCCCTTAGGAATGACACCTGGCTTGGCGGTCCAAGAGCAGTCGGCAAGACAGCAGAGGAGGCAAAGAAGGTCTACGAAGATGTCATGGCCCTTGAGGCCCGTCCAAGACAGCCTTCGAATAGAAACTTCTAATTAAGTCGAAGGGTACTTGAAGTACTAATAACTAGTAGCATGCAGATTGTATGAAGATTGATTACCCTAAACCCTAAACCCTAAACCTTACCTCAAGGTGGCTGACCGGACTCGCCCTTTCTGTCTGAGGCTGCTGGCTGCATAGCCGTGGAGATGGAGTGTGTTCCTGCCAAGGTGGGGGTTTCCGAAAATTAGGGGTACCTCATTTTGGGGTCCTTATAATAAGGATCCTACTATTTGGGGTACTATATTAGGGTCCCCTATTTTCGGAAACTCCCAGGTGGCGGCGGAGATCAGCAAGCGCACGAAAATGCTGGTGTTTTCGATGGGGAGTGGTCCTGACTGCGACGGCCAGTTCATCTTCTCGGAGGATCTCATGGGCACGAACTCAGGGCACTATCCCCGCCACTCCATCACCTACGCGAATCTTATGGCGGATGCCGCGCAGGCATTGAGCCAATACTGTCAAGACGTGCGCCGTGGCGCATACCCTGCAGCAAAGCACTGCATCAGGATGAAAGAGGAAGAGTTCAGGCGCTTCAAAGAAAGCATCAGCTGAGGTGCCTCTTCGAATTGTTTCTTATGCCCGGTCAGCTCAGAGAGAAAACTCGGGCGAAAAGCATCTTGATCAGAGGCCGACCCGAGAGATTGAATTTTGTTGATGTGTGAAGTCCGGCTTGGCCTGCTTTCTACCTCTTGCCTAATTCGGTCTAGCTCGCTCCGGCAGTGTGATGATGCAACCCCTCCGAACCCCAAACTCATGAGCGGGACTTGAAATCTGCACCCATCCTCAACGAAACCACTAGGCCCTCTTACCTATTCGATTCAGGGGCTTACCTTGAACTGTTGAGCTCCTTCCTGGCAACTATGGACTCCTGTGTCCCATTCAGAACCCCATGCAGCTGCCCCAAGACCGGAGTTCCAGTCAGCCCAGAATGGATCCCTCAGCCTTACCTTACACCTCCACGCGTATCTGCTGTATCATACACGGTTATGTTCATCCAGTTTCATGTGCCGCTTCTAAGTCTAACTGCTGTACAGTACTCATTTGCCCAGACATGCTACCTAACTATGCTTGTGTCCGTGTTTACATGCATATTTGTCTATTAATTGGATGTAATTGGGTCCTTAGGTTGTTTCCACACGCGTATCTGGAATCTAGGACATTTGTCAATACGGTACTCCAATATAACACAACAGAATGTAACACAAAAGCCACATCACATACTATCCGGTCATACCGTATCGTATCATCACATATCATCACAGTAGTATAACAATATAATGTAAAACACACTATATGATAAGATGTTCTGAAATCGTGGCATGGTTGAATATAAGCAATATACCAGCATACAGTCAGATATGACATGATAATGATAACACAGAATATATAGATATGTATATGTACAGATAGACAGAGGTATAGTATACTATATGTAGATACGGTTGATGATATGAACCCTTCATTACAATTACTCATAACGGGGAATATGACCCTCATTCCCATAGTTTAGGGTCCTTAAGGTAATGCAGGATCTATCTCATCAACAGTAGGTACTATAGGGGCTTGAGTAATTACCTTTACTATTTTGGGTGTTCCTTATTATACTTATAGTATAGTATACCCCAAAAGCCTTTGTTCTAATTATTAGTATAACATACCCCAAAACCCTATTCTAATTGTTAAGGCCCCCTACATTAGTTACACGCACACAAAAAGCACTCCAGGTTCGAAAGGCACCCGGCCCTGGTCTCGGTGGCTCCGCTGCTGAGACCTGCAAGCCGCGACCCTCGGATCTCCGGTGGTATTAGAATGTAAAAAAAACGGTTTAGGGTTTTAGGGTTTTTAAAGGGTTTAGGGTTTTGGGTTTTAGGGTTCAGGGTTTTGGGGTTTAGGTTTTTTGGGTTTAGGGTGCAATATAACATGTTTAATGTAGGTATAAGGAAATGTAATGTGACGTGGGTTCCAAAGTACTCGTAGCACCTTTCTGCCCTTGTTAGTGTTTGTAGGGCTCCCTTGATTTGAAGTTTACGGTTCGGCTCATGGTTGTAGAGTTAAAGGTCACTGTTACTTGGATCCCCGTACTCATGGTTGAATGATATTATCCATGGACTAGGTGTACTGCTTCTGTAGGCACAAGTCTTGTGATGACCTAATTGCCTCGGATGCTGTTGTCAGTGGTATGCCCTTGCCTGTCGTGTCAGTCTTACGAGCCTAGTTAATGCATTCGGCAATCGCGCTGTATCAACAGCAACAAATGACGAGCAGCAGCAACAGTAGAATCTTAGAGTCGTAAGGAAGCAGCAACAACCACTCAAGTATCAACGCCATCGTCATCGACTGCAGACCTGCGATAATCAACTCTGCGACCATGCGATGAGCAAGGCAGCAGTAAACTTTAGGCAGGAGTAGGAACAACCAAGGAACCAGCAAGAAAGGAGACGTAGAAACGTCTGAACCAAAGCTACTGATGGAGAGAAAGGGAGAGTAACAGTAGTCATCATCAGCATCCTTACCGTAGCAGCATTCATGATCGCCTTCAGCGCAATCACCCAAAACGGCCTGAAACAGCTCTTTGAACATACTGATCGCAAACAGGATGTCTGCGTTTATGTCGCACGCGAACGCACCGCCAGCAGGGAGCACCCGAATGGCAATCATGGCATCATGAGAGTCTGCCTCCTTTCATGCAGAGCCTGTGCCTATTGAGCATGGGCTTTTCATGGAGTAACCCGTCTGGCCCGAAAACCCGGAGTATTGTCTGAACTCAAGGTCAACCGAACACCGCCAGGGGCAGTCAGCCATGCCTTGTTTGCGTCCCTGCTTTGTAAGAGCGACATGCAAGCCTGCCGAATTGTTGTTCCCGCTAGCAGGGCCTGCTTCCTAGCCAAGCCATATCAAAGATACGCAACGGTTGGCATCGTTGGACCCGAATGTGTCATAATGAAATTTGACAGCTCCAAGCTTCAGCGGTCCCTTCATTGACCGGGAGGAATGGTGTTCTCAAACCGAGCAGCAAGCAGCAGTCAGTGGTGGTGTCCTGATCTATCGCGCCGTTCGAGTATGGAGTCGAGGTCGTTCCAATCTCATGGCACTGACCTGCAGGAAGGATACAATCCTTGAATTGCAGTAATCCTTCTACCCGAGTCCCCCAATTCATGTGCATTGAAGCAACACTTTCCAACTTCTAAAGCCGCTTTTCAAGGGCTTGTGTGCCAGGCCCCAGCGATGCTGCCGACGCCGCCCTGCGGACAGCGGTGCGCTGCTGAGGATTTCGACTCGTAGCAAAGCGAACGCTATGAAAAAGAGGAGAAGGACGACGACGATGTTGATGAACGTGACGATGAACCCTTTTTGAAAAAGGGGCTCTGGCATTAGGATCCGTATTTAGAAACCTGTTTAGGGTTCTCCCGTGAATTCGGCAAGCTTCCCTACACCATCATAGGCATGATATCTAGTATCAAGTGATTCAATGAATCTTGATTCAACAAATTGCCAGGCAGAGGTCTCCCAGGAGAATGAGGCGACCCGGGCGCCGACGTCCGCGCCGGTGCCTGACAACGTGGCGAAGAACTTCCTCAAGGTAGCTTGCTACGGTGTATGGTAGCTTTGAGGGTTTTGGGTATTTTCAGGGCTCCTTTGAGGGATTGTTCAAAGACCAGTACTATAAAGGTCCGACAAAGAATTGGGGTCTCACTGCGAACTTGTGGGCCTGAGGGGGGGTGGGAACAGGGCTTTTTGGGAGGCTTAGGGGTTCAGGGCTTCCCGGGGTTTGGGTTCGGGTCGTGTTCTAGGCTTCAGGATGCCGTACGGTGCCGATAGCTGTGCTTTTGGCGTTAGTTTTGGGTGTGCACAGGTTATGCTTGAAGGTTTCGGGCGCAGAGGTCCGCTGCTTGAGTAGGTTTGAAGTGCCCAATGTCTTGGTTTGCTTGTTGTCGTTGGCATGTGACCAAAGCTACGTAGCTTCCCCCAAACCGAACTGGAAGCCGAAGGCGCTCGACGAGGAGTACGTCCTTGGGAAGGGTGCCATGGACGGGGCCCCACGTCAGGGTAATATAGGGGCCTTAAGAATTACCATTAATTGCCCATATGATTTTGAGGGATCCTTATTCTAATTATTGTATCATATACCCCAAAGCACTATTAAGGCCCCTATATTAGACATGCTCTGCTGGAATCATCGAGGCCTTCTAGCAAAGATTGGCCTTTGATTATGGCAGCACTGAACACGTACTGCGAGGTCGGCAACTTCTTCGACAGCGAAGGGTACCAGGTCGGACAATGTCTTCTCATATTTTTGGGTTCTTATTATAATACGGCACCAATTATTTAGGGTACCCCAAAAGGGACCCTAATTTAGAGAACTGCCCATGTCTTCTGCACTCTGAAACCGTAATGTTCAAGCTTCCGCATCTGTGGGCTCGCGCGGTGTTCAGTGGAGTGATGTCAAACCTGCGAGTCGCATGTCTTGCTTCTTGATTTCCTTCGGAAGCAAAACGGGAAGCAGAATATAGGGGCCTAATTACCAAGACTATTTTGGGAGGCTCCTTATCATAAATATAGTATAATATACCCGAAAACCCTATTCTAATTATTAAGGCCCCCGACATTAATTACTGCAATGCACGAGCCGCACGCCTGAAAAAACACAGGATCCGCTGTCCCCCTTCGAGGAGAAGGCGCCGCATACGTCACGTTATCTGTTAGGGTTTAGGGTTTAGGGTTTAGGGTTTAGGGCCAAGGATGGCCCGGGACGGAGGGTGCCGTTTCGCCCTGTCTCCGAGAATATGCGGAGAGAGAGAGAGAGAGAGAGAGGCGAGGGGGGCTTGCCCCTCTTGCCCCTAGCCCTGACGAAAGAAGCAAGCGCAAGGCGGTCCAGTCAGATGCATTCAGTTGGTCAACTGGTGTTTCAGCTTCGGGCGGGAGGGGGTAGTCCCACCTGGCGGAGCGAGAGAGCTGTTTCATGGCATGCCATAGCGGCGAGCGACTGCGGAAGTAGTGAAATCGTGTCAGAGACAGGTGCAATACAGAGTGTCTCGGCTCCATGCATTGACATGGCTCTTCTGTGCTGGTTGCTGGTTTCGAAATCACGGCAAGCAGCAAATGGAAGGTGCGCGCCGCTGAAAACAAGAAGGATGCTATTGGGGCGATTGCCAAAGAATGGGGCGTCGAGTTTCCGTGAGGACACTGGCATGCAGACAGGTTTTACGGTTTTGGCTGAAGTCTGTTCGGGATGTCTTGTCATGGAGGAAGCCACAAGACACTCAAGCTACCAAGTCATGTCGAAGCTGCTGATACGCGGATGCAGGATGCATGCAATGTCGGCTTCGGTCAGAAACCCATTCCTACCGGCTTTGTCGTTCAGTGCTGTTCACCGCAGGATCGCCCTACCCTTGAGCCAGCAGCGTGTGCGAGTGTGCGAAGCGTTTTGAATTTCAATTAAGAGATGTCACGCAGGAGGTCGCAGACGATCCTGTCACGTCTCACCACTCACGTACAATGTATGAAGCTTCACGATGTGATGCTTTCACATTTCAGTCGCGGAGGTATGAGAGCAGGTCGGTTCTGGGCACGTGAAGCTTCCGGCATGGTTTCAATGCACGGAGTTCGCAAATATTTGTGTGTCCGCATCCCAACTGGTGCATCTATCTCGAGCACAGGCCTCGCAGGTCACCTGCCAAGCAGGCTAGCGCTGCAGCAAACTGTCTCGAGACTGCTCTGTGTTTGCATGTAGTTTGTGTGAGCTCTACTGCAATGGTTACCCCTGTCACAGCCCCAATGCAGGTTGAGCATTGCACCAGAAAGCCAAAGTCTGCTGGAGCTTGGTGAGGCTTGACAATGATTGTAATTCTAGTTCTAAAGAGAGCGGCTGCAAAGCAGCTCGAGAACTTGCTACCGAATCCAAGCTTGCAAGCTAGCTGTTGGGGCACTTTGCTTCGCAGGGCACCACGCCTGCGCCCACCACCAGTGAGGGCGCTACCATGCACTGACGAATTGGCCTCCTCTTCAGAAAAATGCGGAGACACGGATTTCCTCGTTGCCTTCATCCGCCATCCTGCAATTGGACAAGTCAGCCGTCTGCACAGTTCAAGAGTGCAAGCCTGTTCAGTGGCCTTTCATCGTCCATGCAAGCCAATCTGCCTTTTCTGGCTCAGCTTAATTCAGGCTGAGATGGTGATCCGTTGAAGCGAGCAGACAGCAGAGAAAGAGAAGGGTCAAATCAGGCCGTTCAGTCTTCAGTCGACAGAGCGAACCCTCCCGTGCCGGGCTGACTTCTGTTCGGTGCTATGGAGCTCGGCGTCGCATCTGCTTGCATTTAGCCCGCGGCTGAGAGACTCTGTCAGGAGTCGCCCTACCAGATTGAAAACCACTTCAAATGCCGATCTGCAAGCGTTCCCTGCATCCACTCCCCGGGTTGCGAACAGCCCAACGACAATAGTGGTAATCATAATGACACACATATGTATATATATATATATATATGAGTGGACAGATATGCAGCAATACTATTGATTTGGCAAAGTCTAAACATATTCAGGCTGCGGCGCGTGCTTCTGAGATGCTTCGCAGCGCCACAGCCGGACAGGTCCACCATCTAGGTTGAGGGCTTTGGTTTCGGACTTTGGGGCGGAGCTTCGGGTTTGGATGTAGGGTTTAAGGATTTAGGACCAAGGGGTTGAGGTTTACTCTGCGGGGGATCGCCACTGGGGGCAGGGTGCATTTGGATGAATGCTTGGCCAAACCGCATTCTGCTCTTGATGCAAGTACATGGGTACGCTTGTGAGTTGTTCGCTTTTTGGCTCGGTTGCAACATGTTGCAATGGCAGCATAAAGACAAACTGCAGCAGAAGCAGGAGGCTGCAACACAACAGCGACAAGAGCGTAACGAGCAAGTGAGAGGGCTCAGCCAAGGAACACGAATGCCAAGATCACATCGCTTTCCGGGTGCCCACACGTTGCCTTGATTATTGTCATGCTTGTTATTGATATTGTCGTTGCTGTTCTAGCCATGATGGTTTTTGATTGATACAATTATATACAAGACATTGCGGTGGTGATCATGGCAACATTTGTGACAGAACACAGGGAAGCCCCGCAATCGGACACGCAAGAACCAGAAGATCAACGGATAATTCATGCAAAAAAAGTTGAAAGAAACCGACCCCAGAGACNNAGTTGAAATATAACGACCCCAGAGACCCAACAGAGGTAGAGTCAGAGGCCCCTAGTTAATGACTTCAGAGCCTCCTTTCAGAGACCGCGTGTGGATTGACTTTGGCTCAAGGAAAAAGAGTTCCAGGGTTACGTAGATGCCCTGGTTGTTTAGGGGTT